GTAGAGGGTGCAGCGTCACTGGCCCGCATGTGGGATCTGAACCGGGGCCCTGCTGCTCAGAGCTGGCGTCCCAAGCCAACTCTTAACCAACGTGCCACTCAGCTGGCCCTCGGTCAGGTGCTTTTAAAACCACTGTCCCAGTCTGTACTTGTTTACATCTGAAGCTAAAACTTCAGATCACCCTGAGGGGAAGTGGGATATGCTGTCACCTTCATCCTAATGACAAATAGATGCAATGGGCAGAGGACAGCATCTTCTGAAAGGCAACAGTTGAGAAATAAAATGAATGCTGGAAAAAAGCAAACATATGTGTGATCGGTGAATAGCCCTAAAATTAGGTACCCAGGACAATTATATTAGGCCAATTCTACCATGTGATTTGTAAACGGTCTTACTTTTACCTTGGCATTTAATATTTTTCTTAAGAAATTAAAATGTCCTGAAATTTACAAGGAACTATAATATCCAAGTTCACATCACTTCAAATAACAATTAACATTGCCATATTTGCTTCAAGTCTTTTTTCTTGTTAAAGAATTAAACATTTTAATTAAAGTTGACCACTTCTACATAGAAATGTATTCCTTCCAGCCCACTTTTATACCTTCCATATAGGTGTATTCATAAGCAATACAGAGTGTTGCTTTGTGTATGGTGGTCATTTTAATTTTAATTTCAATATACAAGCTTTTGCTTTTTTTCACTGAACTTTGTGATTTTTTTTTTTTTTACTTCTAGCCATTGTTGATATATATGAATCTACTAATGTAGGAACATGCTGCATTATTTTTCATCCATTCTCTTGCTGATGGCATGTAGGTTGTGTCTAATTTTTCACTATCACAAACAAGGACTCAGTGAGACCCCCTGGTACATGCCTCCTTATATACTTGTGTGAGACTTTCTCTGGAAATACATCCAGAAGTGGAATTGCTGAGTCACAGGGAACACGTATTTTCAACATCACAAGATCCTGAGGAATCGCTCTCCAAAGAAAGTACAGCATTTGCACTCCTACCAGCTGTGTCTGGGTTTTCCTGTTTGGAGTGGCTTTGCCAAACCCGGATACTGTCAGATGTTTCAGATGTTATCTTTTTATCTGAGTTCTAATTTCCCGGGTTATTTATATGGCTGAGCTGCGTTTCATACACTTGTCGGCCATTTGGGTTTCCTGTACTGTGAACTGTCTACTCATATTTTTTTCCATTGGCTTTTGTCTCTTTTCTCTCTTCTTTTTAATGGTGTACAAAGTGGATTATAAAGAAAACAATATCTTTTCTGATTTTTCTTCACTTCATCTCAGTCTGAAGGGGATTAAAAAGAATGTGAGAGTGAACAAAAGACTTCATGGGAAGTCTCAAGGTTTGTTTTGTTTGGGTGGCAAATCTTCTCAAGCAAAACAACCCTCATAGTGTCAGCTTATCATTTCCAAAAAGTGATACTGTATTTCTACTCCATTTATTTAAAAAGCCATGCACCAAGCCAGATCCAGGGACAGGGAAAACATCCTGGTCTCATCCAGACTAGAGAATTGAGACAAAGACCAAATCTCCAGAACTACTTGAGGAAGGGATTGGCACATACAGTCAGAAAAGGCTAATCTGCTTTTTAATTTTCTTCAAAATGATCTTCATCTGGCTATCATTTGCCATAATTAGGACCAGTGATAGCTTGCATGTTGGGGTTGATGAGCTAGGCTGGGGAGTTCAAAGCCTCCCTAGACGATTCAGATAATGAAAGTTTAGGAACCACAGGCTTGGATCAAAACTGCTTAACAATTCTTTTCTTTACTAGGAGATTGAGGCTTAGCCTGAGGCTTGATTCAAATCAGCTTGGTTTTGCATTTTGTTAAGTAGTAACAAGTTAAAGGGTCAGAACCTGACCCCTTTACAGCTAGGAAAGCCATGCGGAATTATCTGGTTCAACTCTCTCACTTTCTGGACCAGAACTTTACAGCTAGAGCTAGAAAAAGAACTAGGACCCCTGACCCCATCAATCCCTGAGATATGTCAATGAGGCGAGGCTGTCAGACAAGGGAACCCAAGACACAACCTCCTTCAGTAGCCGTTTGGAATTAGGAGTTTCACTGTTAACACTTGGAGCAACGATTTACACCATTTTCCCCAAAATGATTTTTTACATTTCATTTTACATGGGAGGTCTCGGCAGATTGGTTTCATATCTTGGCCTAGATAGTAAG